TTATTAAAAAAATTAAATTATTAACTAATTAAACTCTACACCCTGAGTCCTTTGGTTGAAGGGATTAAGAGTACAGGGTTATGGGGTTGAAGCACTTGAGATAAAGAGTTAGCTCAAGAGATGCGGTGTAAAAGATTATGTTTGTTAATAATTTTTATTTATAAGCTAACCGAGTTATTTCAGTTATTAACAATTTTATTAAACCTAAAAATACTATTTAAATGATTTACAATTTTTTTCATTTTTTGTGATGAGTATAGTAAAAAATTGAAATTATTAACTAATTGAACTCTACATCCTAGGTCATTTGGTTTAAGGGCTGAGGAGTATAATAAACATCGTTTGTTGCAATAATGTATATACATGTAAGTACGTATAAGACAGCCGAAATAAACGGAAATTTTACAGACAAATTGGTAAAAATAACGATAACAAAGATTTTGATGGCCATTAATAATATTCTAATTATCATCGACATTATAATTTTTTTTATTGGTTTTATTATCATTACTATTATATACCTACTATTATCTGCTGCCCCTTACTATTATTTCAATTTCGTTACTGAATTTTCTGATAATTTCTCTTTTTAGTTTTAATTTAGTTTTTGTTTGGGGGGAGGGGGCAAAACAACAACTTTTTAATAAATTTACTCCAGTTAAACTGATTTTCTAGACCTTATGGCAAAATGAGTATCATAAAAGTAAAAGCAAGTCAATGTCCTCGAACAAAAGTTATTCGTATTAATACGATTGATTTCATTAGAAGTTCGTTTAGAAATAAATATTTTGAAAAAAAAAAAAAAAAAATTTGTTCGTAAATAACTGATCTACTTACTTTTTATTAAAATTGGAGATTGTATTCAAGTTAACAAGTATTTGATAAAAATTGTTATTGCACTATTATAAGTTGATGATTTGCTTCGATTCATGATTCGAAAAAAATATCGTATTTTCTCTTTAATTGAAAAAAAAACTCTGACCACATAATTAATTCTAATCGAAATAAAATGATATACTATTATAGTTCATGAAATGTAATTATTTTGAACTTTTTTTCACCACACAAATTGTTAAACACTTTTTTTTAAAAAATCAAAAAACACGTAGTCTACACCTCAATATGGTACAAAATTGTATTATGTTTGCACTGCTGTGAGGATGAAAAAAAAAAATTCAGACCATAACAAGACATTACCTCACACATAAATACGTATGTATACAGAGAGAAAGAGAGAATTATTTTTCCCGAATGACTTATTTTGATCACCTAAAAATAAAACACAGCTGCATTTCGTTTTTGATTGAAATTATGAGGAAGCAAAATATTCTTTAAAAGCCTATGATGATAAAATAAGTTTAATATATTAAACTATTACTATAGTAAATGGCAAGTGATAAAATTATAACTACAGCCAACAAACTACAATACCACCATTTAACTATTATTTTGCGGAGTTATTAAACAAAACATTTATTTAATAGACACTGCAAAAGAAGAAATCTTCATTCCACTATTCCTACGTCAGTATCGCTACTGAAAGTACTGACAGAACCGTGTAGAACTCGTGGACATCCATTTCCTCTTCGACTTCTTCACAAAATTGTATTCAAACACACGAGTTCTCTCTCTTTGACGATCATCGACTTTCAAATTTTTAATCTTTTAAGTATTATATTTAAAAAATTTTATAACACAACATAATTACATACACAGTGTACAACACAGTTGACGATTCCACTGATTCAAACTAATTGAATCAATATCAGTATGCGTCAGTTTGAATTTAATCGTCTGATGAAAATTTGACGTAATACGACGCAAATATTTTGCAACGTCAATGTTTTCTAGGTAATTTATACGTAACTTTTTTTTAACCTTATTTTTTGCTTCTTTTCACAATTTTTTGTATCATTTTATTAAAAAAAATGTTTTTCTTTTCTCTCAATAACATAAGTTTTTCACTTATTTATTTTTATACTGTCGAAAATGTCGTATGAGCGTATTGTTTTATTATTGTCTCGATTGAAAGACAAGGCAAAAAATGATCAGTGCAGCAGACCAACTTCAAAACATTGGAAGAGAAATGTTTTTCGAAATAATAAAATTTAGGTATATAAAAAGTAGCAATTCTCGAAAAATATCGTGCAAGCAAAAATTTTGGGATCAAAAACATGAAGAGTGGACTGGTAAGTACCATGAACAGTTCTTCGTATTATTTTTACTTGCGTTCTCTTTCTTTACTTGATTTAAAAAATGAGATTTTTGAAAATATTCAAAAAATTGTAATAGGCAACTGCCCTATCATACAAATAAATAAATAAAAAATTATATTTTATTATATTGATTGTGTTTTTAATAAGGTACGAAGTATACTTTATGCCATAATATAACTTATTACATGCACAATACATATTTCGATTTTCTAAATTTTCACATATTTGTATATATATATATATATATATCAATTGCAAACGATTGCTTCAAAAACAGTCAATTGTACCAATTTTATGATCATTCCACCATCCTACGATGTCCTTCATTTCTCCCTGCAGTCTCTATTTAATATCATTGGTTCATATTAGTATATCTCATCCGTGTACGTCTTTCTTCACTAGAAACTTAACTAAATATTAAACTGTGCGTTCCTTTGGACAGTTGAACAATCCCAGAATTTTTTTATTGATCGATAGTTGTGAGAAAATTCTCGTCTATCAAACCTATAGAAGATCTTTCGCTTGCCTATGGTGTATACATAGGCCTTCTTTTTTCATTTTTGATATTTCGTTAAACTCTTTCCTCTTTTCAATTGTCAATACTAATTCTCACTTTTTTTTTAAACTCCTCACATCCTATTTTTATCTGATTATCTTTGTTGATTTTTTCTTTTGAAAATCACCCAGTTTCATTTACTGTTTCTCTTTTCTTTAATATCGAATAGATACACATATTCATATTTTTAATTTACGGTTATTAAAAAATATAATATTACATAAGAAAAGCCAAGACATTTTTTGCCGTAGTAAAAAGGCACAAAATTTTTCTGATAAAACGCGCGGAGATGGATATCCATATTTTTTTTAAGAGTTAGGAGCTTAAGAGATTGGGAGTAGAAAATTATGTTTGTTAATAATTTTTATTTATAAGCTAACCGAGTTATTTCAGTTATTAACAATTTTATTAAACCTAAAAATACTATTTAAATGATTTACAATTTTTTTCATTTTTTGTGATGAGTATAGTAAAAAATTGAAATTATTAACTAATTGAACTCTACATCCTAGGTCATTTGGTTTAAGGGCTGAGGAGTATAATAAACATCGTTTGTTGCAATAATGTATATACATGTAAGTACGTATAAGACAGCCGAAATAAACGGAAATTTTACAGACAAATTGGTAAAAATAACGATAACAAAGATTTTGATGGCCATTAATAATATTCTAATTATCATCGACATTATAATTTTTTTTATTGGTTTTATTATCATTACTATTATATACCTACTATTATCTGCTGCCCCTTACTATTATTTCAATTTCGTTACTGAATTTTCTGATAATTTCTCTTTTTAGTTTTAATTTAGTTTTTGTTTGGGGGGAGGGGGCAAAACAACAACTTTTTAATAAATTTACTCCAGTTAAACTGATTTTCTAGACCTTATGGCAAAATGAGTATCATAAAAGTAAAAGCAAGTCAATGTCCTCGAACAAAAGTTATTCGTATTAATACGATTGATTTCATTAGAAGTTCGTTTAGAAATAAATATTTTGAAAAAAAAAAAAAAAAAAT